GCCAGAAGGACTGAACAGTCTAAGGGACCTCAGACAGTGGAGCCAGGATGTATCCCTGATGCACAAAAGGACTTTGCGAACATATCCCCCATGGAGGGATAACTGCCTTAATCTAGAGACAGGAGAGAAGCCCTAGTCCCTACTTCACAGGACCTGTCAGATCTACATGACCCCAACTGGATGGCATTCCCCTACATATGGAATTGGGGTGGGGGGATGGGAGGGGAGGGTGTTTAGAGTGCATGTGAGAGGGCAGAGAGGGTAAAAGGGAAGGAAGGAGGGAGGGAGGGTTGGGGGGAGGGAGGGAGAGGGAACTGGGATAGACGTAAAACAATAAATTAAATTAAAAAAATGCTTTGACTCCAAAATTTAAGTTGAAGGACAAGTTACTGGGGAAAAGGATTTCTATTTTTATTTCCACAGAAAATGAAAAGATGTAGATTCCTTCCAGACTAATGAGGTTTGATCACGCCAGACCGCCTGAAACAGAGCACAAGCTAATCCTACATTCAAAACAGCTGGACAAAACAGCCCTACAGACTACAGCCAGGATATCTGAGTCTTCTTCGAATCCCCCAAGACAGCGCCCCTTACCAGCAGGAAGTAGTTTGGAAAGAACGACGCCCAAATTCCCAAATATTGTGTATAAATGTTTGTTTTCATTTAATTGGACTTTGTTATATAAAATTAAATAAAAAAAAGATTATCCTTTTCTCAGAGGCAATAAATGGGAGTAAAAGTAATATGTATTTGTTACTGTTCATTCAGCACCTACTTGACTTACACACCAAGCATATACTAGGTACTTTAGAATAACCTCATTTAATTCTCACAAGGTAATTTATTATTCTCACCTTACACAGGAGGAAATTAAGGCTCTGAGAGGTCAGATTTTTGGCAAATATGTATTATAGGCACGAAATAGTCATTGTTACATTTCATGATATGGGAAATAATTACCAAAAAAGGATCATTTTAAAGTTTATACATTTTTCAATTAAATGCTCGGTAAATGTCAGCTATCTTTCTAAGGTTTTCAGTAGCAATGTGTCTGGATTGTTTTCAGTGCCCTTTTCCTCAAAACTTACTTTCTGTCCCTCAGCACACCTGGTTAATTGTCAGCATTCTTGTCAGACGTTACTACACCTTGATGATTCAGCAACAAAATGTATATGCAAAGAAACTCACCACTACCACCCATTCTCAACTTAGGCCTCAATTAATTAAGTCTCCTAAAATACTCTCACAGCTCCCTCAACCTACCTCCCCGAGCCAATTCTGAATTCCTGCCAAGGTTCCCTTTTAAAGATGCCCCTTTTTGGAAACCGTTCCAAAGGCTACCCAACCTACACCGGTAAAACCCAATGGTTGCCAGAGCCCTATGTGTCTGTCCTGGGCAAATACTCTAGCACTGAGCTGTAACCTCAGTCCTCTTTTGACTCTGTCCATGAAGCCTCATTTCCTATCTCTTTCCTTTACCACAGCATGTATTACTTCCCAATGTAAGGTATTCGTTACTGTTCTACCTAACCCCTTAACTTAAATTTATTGAGATAAGATCTTGTGTCTTCTCCATGCCTAGAACAGGACCTGGCATGAAGTGCATACTTGACAAATATTTGCTAAATGAAATACAAATCATTGGTGCCAAAACCCAGATTCATAAACACTCCAGCACAGAACCTCTATACCACATGTCCTCTACTACTTATTCTAAGCAATTCTAACACTCCCAAGTAGAGACCAGAGCCTCCTTCATTCCCACACAGACATCATCGAAGTCTAGGATTACTTTTTACATGCTTGCTTTCCTGTAAGATAATTTCATAAATACTAAACCTCAGATTCTCAATACATGTTCCACATTTGCTGCTGAATCTTCTCAGGCCGTTCCCTCTCAAACGACAATCTAGTCTCCTACCTTCTGTGTGTGCACTGTCACACTAATTAGGATGTGTGCTTCTTTGAGGTCTCCAGCACAGTGTCTCATACACAGAAAATACTCTCAAGTATTAATATTCTTTCAGTTCCTTTCTTGAACTCAGTATTACCTTGATATTCTTTATTCCCTCATGAATCACCAATTCTCATGGGTGTGGGGGAAAGATCTATTAACTATCGTGGGTAAGAAGGAAATAAGGACTAAAACAATTTTTTTGATGTAACTACTTTCTCACTCCCAACATCTAAAGGAGCAAGGAAGTGACAAAGGCTGCCAGACAGGTGAGAACTTGGATTGACTTTCACAACTCAGCCCTGGCAACTTGAAAGAGCAGGACTGACAGGTTCCTGAAGGGACAAATGAGCCTGAATCTTAAAGGCACTTCTATTGACTTTGCTGTCAATGACTTCAGAAGAGATTTAAAAATAAAAAGACACAGACAGACGCATGTGTCATCATAATTCATTTAATTCTTTTACTTCATAATGTTTTTTCTAGGAAAAGCACAATAGTATATAGAGGGGGAATCAAATGTTGATCTAAAGTATATATTCTTTTCAAATTTTCAATTCTGTTAATATATGGCACAAAGACCATGCATTATTGCAAACCCTCCAATAATAATAATATTATTGCTTAGAAATTCTACTTTTTTTTTTTACTTTTATTTATTTATTTAGTTATTGTTTGTTTGTTTTTGAGACAGGGTTTCTTTGTAGCTCTGGCTATCTGGGACTTGTTCTGTAGACCTCCTATCTATTTGCCTCGAACTCATATCTATTTGCCTCTGTCTCTTGAGTGCTGGATTAAAGGCATGCATCACCACTGCCCCATTTATTCTCTGATATTTTTTTTTTTAACTTTCTCTGGAACATTTCATTTAATTGGAGCACAAATCAAAAGATACTATAAAAAAAAAGTAGTATTCTTAAAATAAGCAACAACAGAAAAGTTACCTGAAGTTAATGTTTTGGATTTGTGTGCCAAAATTAAAGATTGATCAAATTTAGAGAAGAATTGTAAAATTTAAGCATCAGAGAACAGAATGAACAAAGGTAAGATGGTTTGGAAATCCCCAAGCTCCTGCACATTGAAAAGTAAACATAGTTTAATTGACTTTTTGTTTTGTTTTTTTCCGGGACAGGGTTTCTCTCTGTAGCTTTGGAGGCTGTCCTGGAGCTCGCTCAGTAGACCAGGCTGGCCTCAAAATCACAGAGATCTGCCTGCCTCTGCCTCCCAAGTGCTGGGACTAAAGGCGTGCGCCACCAATGCCCAGCTTATTGATTGTTTTTAATAAAGTTCGTGCTATTTGTTTCACATTCTTTAAACTAGGAAATACCCTAAAATCTAAGCAGATTTCAAGGAAGAATCATCTCCAGCAACCTTGCATTAGTTAGACCTGCCTTCAATAGTGCCTTGAACCTGAACTCCATAAGCTCATTTACAGAATGCATCACCAGTAAAGGTAAATGTCTAAGCATTAGACTCCTCTGTGTACTCTTTCTTCTCTGTCATTTGGTTGGGTACAAGATTGGTCATCTCCAGAAAGCTTACAAATAGCAAAGGGACTAGATACTAAACTAACTTAACAGCAGGTGTGAAAAAGTCACCAAAGGACACAAACATGTAACTGCAGAAACTGCAGAAACCATATAGCACTCCCTCACTTCACCCAATTGCCCAGACCTACCTCCCAGAAGCCATACTATCTAAAATAGCTGTCCCTACCACACTCTATTCCTGCAATCCTACTTTTCCTCACAGAGGTACTATAGGCCATATCATGCAGCTAGATTCGATGACTGTTTGCCTTCTGATGAAAACAGAAGCTCCATGAGGGCATTTGATGAGACATGTAGCATGTGCTGGGTAAGAAAATGCTGAAACAGAAGCCCAGAGAGGTCACAGTATTTCCTCAAGGTCACAAAGCTGGCACAGCCTTTAATAGAGACCTATTTACCATAACCTTGCCTGTTTGCTCCTTCCAGCTGCACCTCACCAAAGCAGTGTGTGTCTGGAAAGGAGTCTCTTCAGATTTTCTCTTTCTGGGTTTTTTTGTGCCAAAGAAAAGGACCAAAAGTAACACACTTCAAGTGCTTCACAAACTAAAACTGTACTCAAATTTCATAAGCACTCACGATTAGCACATAAAACAGAGGCACAACCACTCACAGCTCTTTGAGTTCCTTTGGAAATTAGTGTTAGAAGTTTTATAAACAGCCACTGAAAACCTATTTATCAGTTCAGAATGGCCAGCGAAGCACCAGCCTTTCATTCTTCTCCCACCCACAACAGCTCCCTCTGCCAGACATGCTTTATCGTGCAGATTATGCAAGGAGGCAACATAACACTAAAGCCCCTTTAGTTCCTTCTAAAGTGCATGTCAATCTTGCAGAACACTAAACATAAAATAAACTCTTAGGAAGTTTTAGACCCTGAGGATGGGTACCATCTCGGACTCATCTGGCTCCCATCAGTTCGTCCCTTCCCTGAAACCCTACAAATCTAAACGAAATGCGGGAAGGGCAGAAAAGGAGTAAGAAACATTTTAGACATAAAACTGGAGCTAATCCTGTTAGTAACACTCCAGCCCTATGCCGGCTTTTAGAAGAAAGCCAGGGCCTCGCTGATAAAACTTGTGTGGCCTTCTCAGAAAGTAACCAACTGTCAAAACCTTTTGCGGGGAATGTCTCTAGACCTAGGGTGCATCACGTAGATCCAGGATGATGCTCAGAGTCTCTCAAAACTACTGTCAACCCAATCAGAAAACCGAAAGGGACAACCCATAATGTGGCACAGCAAACAGTTGATATGAACACGGGAGAAGAGAGTGGGAAACAGCCGATGAAAAGGCTCCGGCAGGAGAGGGAGTGGGAAACAGGGTCTAGGAAATGGGGTCAAGCAAAAGCCAAAGGTGACTGGATGAGATTCTGGAAGTGATGGGCACGAGCCAAGGGGGAGGGGACGCAAGCGGGCTGGGGGAGGGGGCGAAGGGTCCGGGGCGGGGCGGAAGAGAGAAGAGGCGGGATGAAGATGGCTAGGCCGGGAGGGTCATTACCTGCAGCTCCGCCCGCTCCACTTCCCACTGGGCTCTCTCCACCTCGAAGCGGGCCCATTCGTGCTGCAGGAAGTGCAAGATCCCGGGGAGGCTGTACTGAGCTCGGGCCGCCCCCGCCGCAGCCGCCCCGTCTCCGGCCGCTGCAGCCTCCGCGAGAGGCCCGAGTCCCTTAGCACTGCCAGCACTCGGATGGTTGTTGCTGAAGAAGACGCCGGGACCCGCCTGCTCGTCCATGGCGGCCGACGAACGCCGGGGAGCCCTGCCTAGGCGCCCAGCAGCGGCGGCAAACTGCTGAGGCCAGCTCTGTCTCCTCCCTCCGCCGCTCCCCGCCCACACCCCAGTCAGAAGGGAGCAGTCGCCTGGGCGCGGGGGCCGGGCGAGCCCGTGACGGGCCGGGAAGTGGGTCAACTGCGGCCCGCGGGGCTTGCCGGGAAATGTAGTCCTGGGGTGTGGCGAAGCCCGCTGCCTGTGGGGCTGCGTCTCTCCGAGGTGGGACTGAAGCCACGCCTTCTTCACCACGCCCTCCCCTCCGGGCTGCGCGGTTTTCCTCGCCCTCCGTGAGGCGAGGCAATACCCTTAGGGCGAGCCTCTGCGGCTGCCTTCACGCGGAAGTTCGCGGGCGGCGCTCCTTGTTGCGTACTCACACGCGGAAGTTATCACGCCGAGTACCAGTCCTAGCTGCACATGGTTTAGGGCTTCCTGATTGTTTTGTTAAAAAAAAAAAAGGCTCAAAGCAAGCCATCCGGTCGGTGCTCTCCCTCGTCGCCCATCTGAGGGTTCATCAAAGCCCCGGACCACGGGTCACGGTGGCACCTGCCCTCTTTTCCCCGAGGGGCTAAATCTTATTGACAGATCGGTTTCGCTTAGGAGGCACTCTGATCCTCTGTCTCTCGTCTGAAATTCGACATTTTGAAGTTTTGGAGGGCTTCTTCCAAATTCTAAGTTTAACACTTAATCTAAAATACTGGCATTGAAGTCCCTTCCTTCGGTAAATTCTGTGAAAGTTTTAGATCTCCAGTAACAAGCACTACTTGTTCAAACTCATTTTCCCCGTCTTTGCTGCAGTTTTCACTCAGTTCGTTGGAACTGAGTATTTTATTTTCAGTTAAATTCCGTTCCGGGAATATAAAGATAGATGTCACAGCTTGTCATCAAAAGGAGACTGACATACATGTAGAGTCACAGAGCCCTAACAGCTACAATAGAAGGAAACAAAGTCCCTTTTCGCTCCACTACACTGAATACCCTTTTCATTTGTCACTTTCCCAGATTCTTGGTCAATTGACCTTTAACACCAAAAGCATACCAAAATCCTTTCCTTCTAAGTGACTTTCCAATGCTTTCCCTCTCTGGGCTCCCTGCTTATCACTAAAAATTCACACTACACTAACGGGAAGTTGCCGGAAGAACATTTAAGAAATGAAAATGAAATTATTTGTCACCCTAACAAGCAATCTTTAATCTTGTTTTGTTCTGATGGGCATGGGAAGAATAAGAGAAAAAAAGTAAAGATATAAACTGGTGAATGACTTGCAAGGGAAGGACATCCTGTCCCTGTCCTCTCTCTGCTCCCTGGTCTTCCCATGGAGACTAGTGAAAAGGACAGGAAATACATTGTATCTGCTCTGGTTGCAAATAGCAATGACAAGCCCTCTTCTCTCAGTTACTGAATGTTTCTGCTTTGTGAATTCATTCTTTATTGTCATAAAAAGTTGATCAAGGCCTGGCCAAATTCCTTGTGTCATAAATTATTTTGGCTCTAAATGGCCTTGGAGATCCAGTTGGATCCTCTCACTCACAGCTCCAGAAACATTGACTGTCCTGGGTTAGACCTTGAGTGACTGACTACTGCCAAAACTAGCACCCGGATTGCTGCCTGCTAGCTCAGTGACCTTTAAAAACAAAAACACAAAAAATAGAGGGTTAAGCAGGACATGGTGGTAAACTCCTGAGGCAGAGGTCACACCAGGGCTACCTCATGTCTCAGAAAACACCAAAATTAATTAATTTAATTAAAAACAAATTGACTCCTCTCATTTGTATATCAGAAAACCAAGAAAACAAATTTTTTTCATCTGAGGGATTAAAGTAATTCAGGCAAGACCTTTGCTTTATATTGATTTATATTAATTATAAACTATAGTTAAATGTATAGCTAGTAAGATAGGAAAGATGTTACCAATAAAGTGCTTGCCATGTAAACATGAGAAACTGAGTCTGGATCCACAGCACCCACACAAAAGCCTGAGGTAGGCATCCACCTATAACCCCAGTACTGGGGGATGATAGGGAATGTAGAAATAGAGGCTGCTGAATCCACAGTGTTCATTGCCCACATGCTGAACTACGTTCAGTGAGAGTTCTGCCTTAAAAAAAAAAGACTAAAATAAATAAAGGTGGGGAGTAGTCAAGGAACACTTGTAGATTTCACACATGTGTATAATACACATGTACACACAATACAAACTAAAAATATAGCTATCCTGGACTACTATGAATATGTCCTGAAAATTATTTTAATTCATATTCAACTTCATTATTCAATAATTTCTTTGCTTTTGAGTACATATATATGATAAAAATAGTATTGATAGTCTATATCATAGAAATGAGTAAGTCAAAATATTAGGAGTGGTAGTAAGATGGTATTACGAAATTTACTTTCACTTAAAAGATCTGTGAGTGGTGACATTTTGTTGATAAACAAAAAAAAATTTAAACAAGTTTTAAGGTTCTTTTGATTTAATATAAGGCCCATGAATCCCATATTTTTCTCCTACATGAGTTAGATTCTGAAACTCTGAGTGTGTGTGTGTGTGTGTGTGTGTGTGTGTGTGTGTGTGTTATATTGTTTGTTTTGAGACAAGGTCTCTCTATGTATTCCTAGGCTGGAACTTACTATGTAAACCATGTTGTCCTTGAACTCATAGAGGTCACCCTGCCTCAGCCTCCCAAGTGCTGGGATTAAGGGCATGTACCACTGCCCGGCAAATTTAGACTTCTCACGAATGTTGTTTTCATCCTCAATCCTCTCATTTTTAAAAGATACTTTTCTCACACCGTTTTGTGTATGTGTGTGTGTGGTGTGTATTTGTGATGTGTGTGTGGTATATGTATGTGTGATCTGTGTGTGGTATATGTATGTGTGATCTGTGTGTGGTATGTGTGGTGTGTGTGTATATGTATGTGTGTATGTGGTGTGTGTGTGTATGTGTACATGTGTGTATGTGTGTATTTGTATGTATGCTCAAGCATGTACTTGCTGTTTGTGTATAGGATCAGAACATAACTTAGAGAGTAGATTCTCTGCTTCCAACATGTAGGTCTCTGGGGGTGGAACTCAGGATGTGTATCATACTTGGCAACTAGTGCCTTTACCTACTGAGCCGTCTCACTGGTCCAATTCTCTCATTTTTTTTTATTAAAGCATATAGTTTGTCTTACAGAATAACTGTAAGGTTATATAGGAGAATAAATTTAAACTTTTAGCCTAGAACCTACCATATGGTATATTCTGAATAATCATAGCTATTTTCATAATATAGTTCACAAGAATAACAGAAATTTACACACACACACACACACACACACACACACACTCTTAAGGCCCTGGTAAATGCCCGGGCCCTCATCATTATTTCCCTTTTGTACTCGTAGAGTTAAAATGATCCTAGAACCAACAAGACTAATGCTTAAGCTAACTTTTAAGCCTCAAACAAAATTTTTGGTGTTAACTTCCCAATATTTTCATTATACAGTAAAGCATAAGGGACATGAAAAATAGTTTCTTTTCTGAGCACACAGAGCAACTGTGGAGGTGTTGACTCATGTATTACTATAAGCAACTTAAGTTGAGAATGTGAAAGGCTAACAGGATACTTAGATGGTAGATATGTTGGCTATGCTTGGGTTATCCATGCATGCTTTGTAGGATTGGTATTACATTCCTGTAAAATGACAATTCACCTGAAATTTTTTTCTGTTTTTCATTAAAAATGAGTGGCTATTTTTCCCAAGCTGTGCAAAATGACTGGTTATTTGGGTTGCACTTTGGGTTTCACAGGAAGGCTTCAAATTGAACTTAATGGCTCTTTCAGAGTTCTGGACAGAAAAAAGGAAATTGCTTGGGTGGAAAGAAGTCTTCAAAGGGACAAAAAGCATTTTGGGAAATAGGAACTTGTGATAACCCATTGTTATTCACCTTTGCTATCATCTATCCTGTCCATCCCTGTCCCCTCTCCTTCCTGCCTATCCTGTCAGGGATTTTATTCCTGTATCCAGCTTCCCATAGATTCCCCAAATGTGCTGCCTAGATCTGCAGTTTGGTAATGGCTGAGTTGTGGAAACGCATAGTATACCCTGAGAATGAAGTATCCCTGGAGTCCAAGAATTAAATTTGCATCACAAATTTGTGATAGGATAGAGAAATAGACTTTAATAGTTATTATTGCAGTTACTATTACTGCAATATTACTATTACTTTGGGGGCAAATTTGAAGTTAGATTTTAGCTTTAAAATTAGCATCTGGGGCTAGACATATGGTTCAGCAATGAAGAGCATATAGTACTCTTCCAGAGGACCCTAGTTTGATTCCCAGCACCCACCTTAGGAGTCTTACAACCACCTGTAAGTACAGTACAGGAGGATGCACCACCTCTGGCCTCAGTGGGCACTTGCACTCACCTGAAGAAGCATATACACACATAATTTTAAAAAATTTAAAATTAAACCTAAAATTCATTTTACTTAATAAATTTAACTTTAAATTTCATTTAAAAAGTTTTTAGATAATCTATAAAAGGAGTAATTAAAATATAGACAAGTGAGCATTAGCAGTATATATATTATAGTAGCAATCATTTTGAATATTGAAAAACAAAGCAAACACATTTTATTTTACTGGCCAGTTTTTTGTGGGGGGAGGGAAGGCAGGAGGTTGAGACAGACAGAGTTTCTCTGTAGCTTTGGAGCTGTCCTGGAACTAGCTCTGTAAACAAGGCCTCAAACTCACAGAGATCCCTGCCTCTGCCTCCTGAGTGCTGGGATAAAGGCTTGTGCCACCAACACCCAGCATAAGGACATTTTTGTAAGCTAACTATCCCTGCTGAATGTACGACTGAGATGCACTCATTCCCAGGTACAGCCACTCTCAGAAGAAAATCCTGAGCCTCACTTGGGCATGAGTTACTGGGAATAGCAAACCTTTCCAGCCTCTACCTGGTGTTCCTCAGACACACAGTAAGCCAAATCCTCAAAAGGGTACAAACGTGGCATATTTTTTCTTTTGTTTTTTATAAATATGTAACTGAGAAAAACCAGGGCTTAATGCCAGAAAACAAAAACAAACCAAAAAAGAATGATTGAAGC